AATAACGATTAGATTAAGGTATCTACAATCTTAAAGTGCTATGAGAATTGAGGGAAACCGGTCCATTACGTAGGAAATGGTGTAAGACGTAGTAAAGGCGATCCGTATGGAGTTTGGGAATGGATTTATGTATCTCCAATACTAAGGCTGCTTTCAGAGTGAACTAATGATTTTCCCCGAGCAAAGCTCGGTCCCCAGATACTTTAGATTTATATAACAAGTCAGTATTAAGTCATCAGATATTGTACAATAAATCCTTGGTACGAGTTGCGAATGATTTGACTTGAGCCCATGTTTAACTCGGACTCAAAAAATCACAAATTTTCTGAGCCAGGTGATGGCCGAGTTATCCAGACTGCCGGGTTATCGAGTGCCGAGTTTGAGGGACCCTACTGTATATATATGCGATTTAGAAATCGACATTTTATGTCGATCCGCCACATGTACAATACGTAAAAATAGGCTATTTACAAAAATTGTTCATCAGCTGTTGGAACGTATTATGACGTTATACTTTATACAGAATAAAAGATTACTTCATGCGTGTTGCAGTGGTACCACTTGCTTTTGTCAGAGACAAAAATTACGTCTGCTATTTATTTTTGAAATGACTCATCATTTACGATTGCGCAACAAAACATGGCGTTTGCGAGTTTGCGCATATTTTTCGTTTAAATGTAACTCATTATAAGATCGATATATTTATGTTATAAGGTTCATTCTTATAATAAAATGAAACTTCGGAATCTTATCTTTCCATTGGTATAAGAGTTATGTCATTTTACTGACTTTAAATGTGATTAACATGCAACTGAAAAAAACTTTACATAAATCGACATATTCTGTCGCCCGCCACTCCAGCGGCACATTTTGAAATCAACATTTTCTGTCGATCTGCCACTCCTAGGGTTAAATTGCCTTAAAAAAGTTATTCTTGTAAATGTTTTGTAAAATCAATGGTTTTTGAGTTAATTAAGAAAGAAAGTTTGTAATGGCCGCCATTTTGGATTGGTACAACTTAGAAATCTGATACTTTGTGCAAAGATTAGTCTTACTTGTCACTACTTACATACCAAGTTTCAAGTTAATCGCTTAAGGAATTCGAAAGTTATAAATTCATTTGTGAAAATCACATACAGACGGGCAGCCGGAAAACGAGGCTCCGGCGACCCATGTTTATAATGTAAAATATTCTTGTATTAACCCAAGGAACAATCCTATGAATTTTTTCGAGAGAGTTCACAAACACCCTGTATGTCGTGTCAGTTTTTCTTTCACAACTAAAATACAATATATTATAGACAAAAAGAATTTAATATAGACTGTCAGCCGTACAGTGGTTACCATGGCTACCATAGGTTCTGGCGCACACCGCTGGGAGCGCCTTGTAGTTACGTAGCGCGTAGGCTGTATAACTACATGGCGCTCCCAGCGGTGTGCGCCAGAACCTATGGTAACCGCTCACACCGCATCACAGCTGACGGTCTATATTTAATTCTTTGATTAATTAATTTTTTTTGTCTATGATTATATCAATGTATCTATTTTTCATTCATACATTTTATTTATTTGTAGTCAGTAGCCTAATTAAATAAAAAAACAAGGTCAGAAGTTAATAATAAAAATCAAGAAGACAGAAGAGTGACAATGTTGGTCAGAAAAAAAATTCTTCGACTAAATAAGGTCAAAGCAGTTCTAAATGTTAACTAAGTAGTTTTTTATATGTTTGTTATTATATTCACGATCAAAGTCAAATTTAATGATATTCACGATATTCAGTTAAATTTTAAAAATGATCACGATATTACTGTGAGTTTGGCTTGATCAGGAATTTCAGGCTGGCACACCCCTCTTGTTAGTAAAATTTTAAAAATCTAGTTCAACTTTAACCTTCCGTCGGGCGCATTGATTTTCAAACACCAAAGGGCGCTCACGGAAGTTACCTCCGGGAGTACAAAATCTATGCAATGATGAGTAAAAAACATTTTATTAGCTATAAAACTGTAAGAAAAACATTTTTTAAGAGTTATTACACTATTACTTAAGTACTATATCAAATAGAAAATGTTTTAAAAACAAATAAAAATACGTAAGTGTTGTGGATAGTAAAGATTTACTTTTTGTACTTATACAGTACTATCGTATATTAGAAAACAAACTTGAATATTGTATGACATAAAAACACGTACATGGTCTAATAAAAATAATAATTAAGTACAAGGACAACTGATTCAATCAAAGCTCTTAGACAAAAATTGCATTAGTGTATGACATAAAAACACCTATGGTATTATGAAAAAAGATAATTATTTCATAAGGACAACTTACTTTGTCAAAGCTATTTAGAAAAAAATGCAATGGTGTTTGAAATAAAACACCTATTGTCTAATGCAAAAAATCAATTGTTAGAAAGACCACACATTTTTTCAAAGCTATTTTTCTTGAATAAAAAAGAAGCTTACCGAACTCACGCACCATTAGTTCTTTCTTCTAAATGTTGTTCCTTGTCCTCCCTTTCAACACTAGCCATTAATCTCGCAATTAGTCCTTCTTCATACATTTTATAATATCACTAAATACGGTCAAACACAAGGGTGCACACGGAACTAGGCTCCGGGAAACCCGTTGCATCACAGGGCGCTCATGGAAGCTACTTCCAGTAGTGACGCAAACCATTTCTGAATAGACAAATATATCGCAAGTCAATTCTCAGGCTCGTTTCAAGGTTTTATTTAATGTTAATGTTAAATAATGTGCCTTACAGCACATACAGCATACACACAGCCATACAGCATACAGCATACACAGTATAAGGTATAAGGTATCTTGGAAGATCGTGAACTCTGAAATAGGAGCTAAAACTATAAATAATTGTAATATAAACCTAATAGTAAATAATGATGTATGTTCTGACCCTTCCCTGGTCTGTAGCCATTTCATCAATTATTTTGCAGATGTAGTAAAAGAAACTGATACTTTCAATATAGATTCATTCCTAAAAACTGTTGATGACACTCTGCATCCTGTACTTTCTTCAGATAAAAGGAGCTTTAAATTTAGCTTTGTTGATGAGAGAGATATTGATAAAATTATTAAAAGTCTAAAAAACTCCTATAGTACTGGCTACGATGGTATTCCCATGGTTCTTTTTAAAAAAGCTAAATTAGTCCTACTTAAACCAATAGCCCATCTTATTAACTCATCTTTGATATCAGGAATTTTTCCTAATAAACTCAAAATTACAAAATTAAAACCAGTATTCAAAAAAGGAAACAAACAAACAGTATCAAACTATAGACCTATTGCTCTGCTGCCTTCTATTTCAAAAATCTATGAAAAGGTTGTTTATAACCAACTTGTATGCTTCTTTGAAAATAATGGTATATTTGATGACTGCCAACATGGATTCCGAAGGGGCAGATCTGTCATAACAGCTGCCACAGCTTTCATTGAATCCATCGTTGATAGCTTAGAAAGAAAATCTAAAGTGGTTGGGTTGTTCATGGACCTCAGTAAAGCTTTTGACTCCATTTCTCATGAGTTGTTACTTTTAAAGCTCAGTAGTAGTGGACTAAATAGTACTGCATTGAACTGGTTCAAGTCATATCTTTCTGATAGAAAGCAATACGAGGAACTGAGTCACTGTAATGATAAAAATTATAAAATTTCTTACAATTCTTGTACTCGGGAAGTTAAATATGGGGTGCCCCAAGGATCGATCCTAGGCCCTCTTTTATTCATCTTTTACTTGAGAAATTTTCCCCAACTAAGTGTTTTGAGCAAGCTTTGCCTATATGCTGATGATGCAAATTTAAAAATAGCCGCAGAAACGTATGCTGAACTTGAAGCCAAGGCCAATTCTGATATATTATTACTTAACAGTTTTTTTAACTCAAATAATTTGCGTTTGAACACAGATAAAACTAATTTTATGTGCTTTCAAGCAGGGAAAACTAAACTGCAAAATCTGCCAAAAATTGTAGTTAATAACAACACAATTCAAAATAAAGAACACATCAAATTCTTAGGATTAGAAATTGATGAAAATTTGAAGTGGAACCATCATATTGACAAGTTACTTTCTAAAGTTTCATCTGGCCTATATGCATTAACAAGATTAAAACCCCTATGTGATAAGGAAACATTAAAAATTATATATTTTTCATACATACATTCAATCATATCATTTGGAGTTTCACTTTATGGTGCAGCAAAGAAGAAAAAATTAAAATCAATTCTAAAAAAACAAAAAAAAGCTATTAGAATTTTATGCAATTTAAAACGTAGAACTTCAGTCAAAGAACATTTCAAAACTGAAAATATTATGACTGTTTATGGAATGTATGTCTATGAAACAGTATTATCAGTAAAAGACAGATTTGATGAATTACAACTTATTGGAGACTACCACAATTACTTTACTAGAAATCGAGATAATCTGGCCACTAGCTCTCATACTCTGCAACTTTTCACGAAATCACCTAAGTATGCCGGTTCAAAATTTTATAATAAACTTCCTAAAGAAATCAAATTGGAAACCTCAAAAAATAAATTTAAATCAAAATTGAAAAAGTTTCTTATCAACAAGGCTATGTACTCCTTTGAAGAGTTTTAGTTCCATAAGTTATATTGCTTTATTTCATAAGTTGAAACTTTTGGTTTTAAAATAATTTTATCTATTATTTTAATTTTGATATTTTCATGTTTAAACTTTTATATTGCACTGCTTGTTTTACTTTATTTGAGCTGAAAGAATGTTCATATGGATGGTATGTTGTTACGCCATGCTTAATAGTTATGAGTATTTTAGTTAAGTTAGATTTGTTAAATTACTCTTGACGCCATTCCTGTATCTATGTATTATACTTTAATGAATAAAGTTATATGAAATGAAATGAAATGAAACACATAACACATTTACAGCATACAGCATTTACAGCATTTTTGGGCATTTACAGTCATATTCCAATAATTAAAATCCAACTAATATTTGTTCCCAGGATATTCTTGGAAACATTTGTGGATTCCTGGTGATAATTGTTGGCATCGTTCTGCTTAATACATTCAAAGACATGGATGTATCGTTGAACGACGTGAGAGGAGTGTTTAGACCCAAGAGGGATTATCTGCCTCACAAAGTCCTGCTCCGGGATGATGACGAGATAGATGTTCGGATATCCCGGACCTACGGCACTCCGGACTCCCTCTGACCTTCATGCAAGAGCCTGTAGGCTGCGTACGTTTACGACTTCACTCATTTTGTAAGAGTAAGGCGTGCCAGTTAACAATATCTAAGTCATTGGTCGAATAACTTAAATCCATTGAATCAACGATAACATTTTCAATAGGCTAGGTCAGTAAATTATACTCCATAGTTGTTCCTATTAATTTAAAAAAGTTCTTAAGGATTTGTTGATACTGTAGTCTGGTTCATCCGATCTCAGGTTTCTACATAAATCTCTGATAGTGGTCAACACAAAAGATTATTTTTGAGTTTAATATATTTATTATTTTATGTTTACATAATTGTTGAAGTGTAGTAAAAGAAAATGGTGACAAATAATTTTATAAATTTAAAAAATGATTCCTATTGTTATCTAACCTTGTCGCATCTTTATTATATTAGATGATCAAGACTACTGTTTTACTTATTGTACTACAATAGCCAGTCCATTTTTTACTTTCTTACATTTCATAAATATTTTGAACTATTGTGTAAATACTTATGAAGAACAATACATAACTATTTATTTTTAAGTTAGTAACTAAACTAATAGTAAGAGTTTGCACTTGTGATTTTAACCTTTTAAAGGCTATTCATCATTAAACAAAGGTGAACAAATTGAACAGATTTTACTAACTTTGACCTTAAGTTGGCCTTAAAAGGTGTTGTACTAAAGTAGGCGTACATTCCTATAAGTTAATCATAATTTATTTTCAATATTTTGAAACAAAAATATAGCTTAATCATTTATGTATATATTGTAATTTATACTCTTTAGAACAATATTTATCACATTTTCTGATTGTCATTGATGAAAGCCTATAAGTTCACTAAATGTAGACAATTTACTGAATATATATACTCTTACTGAAAATATTGTTTAATCGACTTTTAAAAGTGTATTTTGTACCAAGTGCCAGAAATGAGGTTTCACAGGTTTAAGATCGTATTTCAAATTTGTTTTTGAAAACTTAAAAATATCGAGAGCTTGCTAAAGACTGTTATTTTTACCACGCTATAAAAATAAACACTAAGCTAGGTAAATAATAAAGGAAGCAAATACATTCATGCAACAACAAAAATACTTGAACTCTTCTAGAGTCAACATTGAACAGAAATTCATAATAAGTTTTTGATTTTGGTTATTTTATTGTTTCTAAACAATGTCAAAAATACACAAAGTTACCACTTAACTGTGGTTTTAAACTTTTAAATATAACCATGTGTTAATGTTTAGTCCAGGTTTTGACAGAACTGTTTTCAGTCCCATGGTTTTTGTTGAAAAAATAATAAATTGTATGAACATCCATTAAATTATAGATGATGGTGTCTGAATTTCATTTAGTAATTGGGAAAATAAATGAGAAATAAAACTCTTCAGAGCTTTCTTCAACTTATTTATATTTTCACAACAACAAAAAACGAACCTTCTCTTTCAACTTTTAACGTAATTCCACTCTACCAATTATTCGTCACCATAACAACCAAAATAGCCAAAAACGTAAACATAAACAAACTATTAGTCAGGTGAGGCTAGTTCACAACTACACGCCCCCTTGGTGTCAACACCACTACACACCCTCTAGTATTAATTGAACATGCCCATATCAATTAATTGATAATTGATAAATTAGTTGATAACGTGTGATTAATACTGTAGTATATTTCACTCTCTACTGTGAAAAGTTCACCTAAGTAGGAAAAAATTACATTTTCTTCGTAAGTTTTAACACTTTTGTAGATGAGTAAAAGTTTCTTGCTTGTGTGAGGTTGTGTACTTATCTTTAAGCTATATCGTAGATTAACTATATATATTGATTCACATTGAAATAGGAACTGCTCTCTACTCTACCACCTAAACAACGAATATTAGGGATGGACGAGATTGGATTTTTAGTTTGAGACGGGATATTTTATTTCTCATAAAATTTCAAGACGGGATTTCCCTTCTCATACATATCGGGAAATGCACGTTCGCCATTTTAACCTGATTTGGTTACATCGTTAAATATCTACTGATTTATTAGAGATGACTGGTAAAATACAATAATAATAATAATAAAATATTAATAGGCAATATTTTAAATCTTTTAATAGAAAACATCAATAAAAAACATCAGTAAAGGAAAACAAATATTATTTAGGACTACCTTATTAAAAATAACTATTACGCGTAGGAAACATGGTGATATCAGTTAGGATATAGTTCAACTTTGATTAATTAAAATGTTTAGTCTGAAACATCAGTCTTACTATTTAAGTATTAAATAACAATAGTAGAACTTTGAAAAATACTAAATTTATCTGTCTGAAACATCAGTCTTACTAGTTAAGTAACATTTTTCAGTCTTGTATTATTTTTAGAACGATTTTAGAGTGACTTGTTTTGGCTATGTTTACATTAGTAATACATGTCTCACACTGCTAACACTTAACAAAACTTCTCATCATTTGCTATATAAAAAAATATTATAAAACAGAGCAATATTTACATGTAAAGAATTAATTAATAAGAACGTCTTTGCAAAGGAAACACAACAACAACGCGCTCTTGTATTGCGGGTATTGCATTTCCTTTCTGCAGGTTTTTTTTTATCTCGTCTCAAAAAAATCTCGGTCAATATTAAATCTCGTCTCGTAGAAAAAGATTTTAAATTTTCCAAAATTTCAAGACCTGTCCATCCTTAACAAATATATATAAAATATTTTATTTTGTATTTCTTTGCAATAGATTTAGGCTTATTATTGTATTGTTACACATTCCATATTTGTAGCCTTAATCATGGTTGAGCTTATGTGTTTTGAGCGTAGCACTTGTAATGTTTGTAAATTTGTGAATATGTATATAAGAGTTTAAAGTTTATTAAAACACATATTTTTGTAAAGCATTTCTTGTTTAAAGTTTGTTCTTACCAATAGCTTGTTATTTCATTTTACTCTACTCGTCGTTACATTGGTTCTTGTACGGAAATAAGCACACTGTTTTCTTCAGTTTTTAAAACATATGTAATATAAACGGAAAAGGAAAAGGGTCTATCTATTTTTCAGGGTAATAAAATATACTTTGACTCGCCTAGTACTCCAGATGTGGAGGGGAAGGTGTGCACTGTTTGTTTTGTTCTCAATAGCCATTCAAACTGTTTAAGTCGCTACATGACTTGGACCTAACAACATCGGGGTTGTGATGTGTGTGTATTTCAAAACTACAAGTCTGTGATTGCCAAGCAAGGAAGAGTTTGAACGGCTATTGTTCGTAACAGCAGTTGCAGCGCACAGGCTCTTCCTACAGCGTGAGCGCTGTAGTACGTGATGGTGAGGGGGGAAAGGAGAGCAGAAGGGGACGGCTAATAGAATTTGTACTAGTCACCAGCGACTGGTGCTAGACACGTTTTAAATGTACCATTGAATGTTTCCTCTGTATCTTACTTCTCTGTGCTGCAAAATATCAAGCGAAGCAAGAGGTGACGAGAATAAACTACTGATAAGTTTAAAAGCTGCGACACCAGAACAATAACTTTTTCACAGTCTCGATTTAACAGTCCGTTCTGTTACCAAGCAAGCCTATATTATCTAACTCATATTAGCGAATTTGAAGTAGTTATTACCGTAGGTGGCACGGTAAGACCTAGGCCCGGGAGCAATTTACTTTTTGGTTTTGATGTCGCCAGAGGTCAGAAACACCATTTGTTCAAATTTTTATATATGTATATACATGATTTATATATATATATAATATATATATGTGTGTCCGTGAACGCGATAACTTGAGTAATTTTTGTCTGATTTTCATGACATTTGGTTTAAAGATGTAAGGCGGGATAAACTTGAATGAGTTCGCGAACCAGCATGATTGGATAATGGGAACTGGGTTTACAGGGGGTTTTATGGGGTACAAATGGGTTTTCTCATTTTTGACCCTCAAAACACAAAATTTCTTAATATCTCTCTAGACATTTTTAAAGAACTTGAAAAAACAAATGATTTAGTATATCAAAGTGTTTTTGTACAATTATTGGTAACAGTGAATATTCAAAAAAATTTAAAATTCCCATGTTATTTTTATGGAGAATATTGTAAAATGTTGTGGTTTGCTTGTTAATGGATAGGCCTATGATTTGATAAAACTTGGCAAATTTATTTATTTTATACTAAGCTATTAATATTTTACTAAAAACACACTTTATTAGTTGCCTTGTAGCAAACCTAGGTACTCGTTAAACCTAATGATATTTAAATAGATTTAATTGAAAATCAATTCAGACTTAAATGGAAACGAGCTGTTTGGCCCGTCCTACGTACGGAAATCCAGTAGTCAATTAAAACTGTATATGATTCAGAACAGCTAGTTTACAACTTGGTGGCCAATTCACACACACTGGCTTTGAGTACAGTAGCTACATACCACCTTCCACTGCAAAGGCCTACTATCACTTACCGTACCTTATTTTACCACCTTGGCCACTGAAACCTCTAAAATGATCCTGGCCTCCCATTCTCTTCTATCCCCTGCCATTTCTAAGGAAGATACCAGTCTGAAGATGTCTTTCATTACTTGGCCTTCCAAGTAGTCGTCTACCTTGTAGTACTCCTTGGAATACACTTTTAAAAGTTGAAGTATCTTCTCTCCGCCATGCAAAGTCTGCCCAGCCCATCCGAGATCTGAGCCTTTTGGAATGTACCCCTTTATCAAGTTTCTGAATCATACAGTACTACTAACTGGGATAGTTATGATATGGTATGAATCGATTTTGGTTTCTACTGACACCCTGCAGCTTACTGGTCTGTTTTCTGGAGACCTACTACACCGGTTGACATTTTCATTACGAATAAAATGTGTACTGTATGCAGTCATACTTATATTCAAACATCTAGAAAAAGAAGTATCAACACGTAAACCACTTATATCTTAAAGGATTAAGCACTTATACTTAGACGGATTGCATTTATGACAAAACTTGATTATACGTTTAAAATAGTTAGTTCAAAATTACACAATCTCCTGATAACATAGATCTTTTACGGTAGAAAATAAACTGCATTTTAAAGTAAAATAGTGTGTAGGCAAACTCTGACGATCAATATTTTTTAATACAAACAACTTGTAACATAAACATTTCAATGACAGTTAGAAACCAGCTGTTAATTAAACCATTACTAAAACGACTAACTCGTCCGTGGGCTGCTAGACTTTTTGAAAATTAAAACTTAATTTCAAAAAAACTGAAACCCTAAACTAATATTATGGCTTCGACATTCCCTAGTTCTCAAAATTATCTTTCTTTCAACACAAAAATCATAAAAATCCGTCAAGTGGTTGATTCAGAATCGTGAAATAAAAAAACACTGTTTCGTTTTAATATATAGGATTCGCTTGGACAACAGGTTTGCTGCAGCAGGGGTATTTTATTGATTTAGTTATTTGCTTTCAAATTTTTTGGAAGGTGTAGAAGTAGAGATAAAATTATAAAGAAAAACGCTTTCTATGAAATATCATCATTTAATTAAAATATAACTCATAAATATACCGAAATTTTACAATTAGATAATGAGTTGACAATTACAAAAGCTAACAAAGGTATAAAGTGACAACAAAATATTATATTTACAATGTCCTTAATGTGTAAAATTTACACTAAAAGAAACTTGAATGCGAAAGCACCACTTCATCACAGGTGATGTTTAACATAATGAGTTACAATTGATAAAACAACAGGTTTATTGGTAGATGTCGATACAATGAAACTAGGTATAATGGTAATAAATGTTTTCTAAATAGAAAATAATCAAACTTGTGATAACTTACATTCTTTACACTTGTTCATTACTAAATATATTTTCTTTAAAAAAGAAAGAATAAGTCGAATACGTAAAATATATCAAATTTAAACATTTTCCTTTTCATAACTGTTTTTTTACAGCGTGGAAAATAATTGATGGTTTTTGGATTTTTTTTTAGAGTCGAAGCTCTGTAATTTTTAGAATGCTCTAAAAATGGACTTTTTTGAATGAAAAAAAGAAATAGTAGAATATAAAAACCTGCTTCTCTCCTTAGTAATGTAACAAAAGAATGCAAGCAATGAGAATAATTTAAAAAGGTCTAAGTTACTAAAATATAATAACACAACAAACAACATCCTAGACCACAATGAACTTTTTGATTAATGCAATAAAAAAGTTGACTATATACAAAATATACCCTTCTGTCCTACTGTATAAAGAACGTATAAAATGTGTTATGTAAAACTAGGATCGTATAAAATATGTCACCAACAATTCAATCTTTACAAACTTAAAGCATTCTCTACAGGCTTATGAAAAATATAGTAAAACATTAATTGTCATATTTTGTTAATATTTTTAAAAGAATTTTAGGGCATTTACCACATTTTGAAACGTGTGAATAGGAATCCTTTTCAAAAACCCTGTACATCCACAAAGAAGAAAATTGAGAAATTAGTTTTATGTTAATAATTTTAATTTAACTAAATAGATATGTAAACATGATATGTGCCAGTTGACATTGAGATTCATTTTGGTACTTTGTTCAAAACATTTAAAATTATTTCTTTAATCACACTTTTGTATTTTATTTGCAACAAAACTTATTACTACCATTGACTGTGTGTCAATGTTACTACCTATCTAAATTTTAAACAATTTAAAATTGTTTTTAACTTTTTTAAACATTTTAAAATTGCAAATAAAATCCATTACTTTACATGCAGTTTAAACTGTTACAACTTGTAGTAAAATATCCAACCAATGGTACACACAATTTAAAGAACATTCAATGAGCTTGTGCTAAAGCACTGACGTGTTCCATACTTAATGCTACACATAGAAATAAATCACAATCAATAAGTATCCTTACTGAAACAAACATCTTATATTATTTTCTAACTAAGTTTTTCTAATATTTCTCGTTGATTCATGTTTCAAAATAATACTGATGTACCTGAATTCATGTAGTTTTTTAAAATTGTTTGTGGGAAAAATTCATATTTTATAAAAATATGTGACCAGGAATGTTGAAAACACATTCTTCTGCCACTTAGTGTTAAATACTATTGAATGAAATATCTGAGTTAAAGAATAATATTTGTGTGTTCAATATTGTCTTAAAATAAACAAATTCTGCGGCTTATATTTACCTCCATAACAACTATGAGTGGTATTTATTTAACTTGTATATTATATTTTTTCTATCTCTAATTAGCGCTTATTAATTTAATGCCTACAATTGCAGACTGAAAAATCAAGAAGCTTTAAATAAGAAACGTTAACAATTTCAATTTCACCACTCAGTACAATTTTCAGTTCAATATTTTTCTTCAGTACTGAATTGATTTCAATTTATCCATTTTTTTCCATTTTTATCGTGAAAACATCCACAATGTTAAACTGTCCGTTGGTTAACACTAAAAGTAATTCAGATACAAAAACTAGATCCATCGAGAAAAACTTGACAAGATAGTACCTGCAATTCCAAACCAAACTAATTTGTTCCGTAAGTGTCCAAGGTTCACTACGCAATCGTGTTGATATCCAACACCTGTTTTCTGGGGAACCAGGACTTTTTCTTCTTGACAGGCTCAGGTGTCTTCTTCTTCCTCTTGCCGTTGAGGAGGTCCTGGATCTCCTGAAGACTCAGGTTCCTGGTGTCAATCATCAAGTATATGGAGAAGAGGGTTGCGAGGAAACAACTCACTGAGAAGATCCAGAATACCGTGAACATTCCACACACCTGAAAAAAGTAACAATGATATTTATCAGAGTGCATCCTGTACACTTAGTTAGATAAGTGGCTAAATCGACAAATTATATATTTGTCCAGTGATTTCTTCGAGAAACATCGGTTCTTTTAGATTATCATGTGTTGTGTCAACTCAAAATCTCCAAACCCCTATACTAGTGTTAGTGGTACTGTATTTTTAACATTATATGACAACTTCTTGATTTGCATTTTATGTGTAGAATTTTACAATCATAATGTAACAGTATTCCAACACTATTCAAAATATCTTCTACAAATTTAAGAATTTTGTGAAATCTTCACTATCTGCCTAAGCAACTAAAGTACCGGTAATTGAATTACAAACACAATTTTTTTTACAGCTGTTAAAAAGTCTTAAGTAAGTAAAAAACCAACAACATTTTGATGTTGTGAGAGAATGATTTGATGATTTTCCATTTTTTTGCATAAAGACACAGAACAGATCAATATGCTACATGCTAAGTTTTAAACGTCAGATCACACTAAAGATTTCTTCAGAGATAGCACCTTGATAAATGCACAGTATATTCAAGTTATGCTAGATAACTATTAGTTACCTCGTTGATGTGTGGGAATAGTTTGGTGATAACAAAGCTAAGACCCCAACTGTAGCCCACAGTCACAGCTGAAGAGATTCCCTTCACATTTGGAGGGAACACTTCTCCCTTTACTGCTGTTGGCAGTGGACCATAACCTATAGAAACAGATACAAAATTAACAACAAATCCTTATTTAATTTTTAAAATAACGATGAAAAATGAATGCATAAGGAACTCGTACTGGTTTAAGAACTAATAACATGCAACTAAACAGAAACAGACATCGATGTCTAAGTAGAACCTGAGGATGGCACCGCTTTTGTGCCAAAACTAAGTTTAATTTGGAAATTACCGTAGCTAGGTATTTTAACTAAATATTGTTATTTGTACGAAATGAAGTTAAACCTCAGGCAATTGACCCACTTACTGTTTTCAGGTTTAATTTTTTTGTATCATTAACGTTCCTCCCAAAATGGCATTAATATAAAATAAAGGAAGTGCTTTTACCACTCCTTCAGTTTTGTTATGTAAAAAATTAATAATTTGTATTGCTACACATAAATTGTGATTACTAAGTAAGTCACAAATTAAATTTAATTGTGTTTTTGCACTTTCCGCAGAGCTCTTAATTAAAAAATGTGTACACCAAAACCAAAATCAAGGGTTTTATTTAATTAAACCAAAAGGACGATTCAATATTTCATCATTCAATTACACTACAAAATGCTCTTCCATATCCTTTACAATTTTTGGTTGAATAGTAAATTTAAATATCAAAATATAAACACTTGCCTAGAGAGTAAGTAACTACGTATCCGACAAGGTTGAACAGAGGAATCCATGACGTACTGGACACATCGACACCTTGGTACTGGACGAAGAACCAGAATCCTGTGATCGTCTGGAAAATTGCAAATCTTTTAGTCAATGGTCTTGGCTAAAATACTAACTGAGCTGCTCATAAGATGGTAAGTATATGGTGACTTTATCCACATTTTATACCTTTGGTATACTTAAAAACTCCATTGCTCCATTCTGTTCAACAATGATAAACAATAAACATCATAAAATATTCAACCGCTTCAAATTTACTTCATGATTTTGGGATGACATTTTCTTGTAAACGTCTTATTCTTCCAGGATGTATATTTTACAACCTTCGACAGAAAAAGTTTTCAAATAATGATGAGAACTAATTTGAGAAGTATTTACCTGGAAGCCAACCATTCCAGCAGCAGAAGTGATCAACATGTTTCTGATTCCGTACATTTTGGTCAGAGGCATCGCGACTCCGGCGAAGATGATGAGGATGACGGCCACGACGATGGTGGAACTGCTGGACTTGATGACCCAACTTCCCACAGTGATGTCTCCTGCGAGGTTGAAGATTGTCTCGGAGTAGAAGAGCACGACGTTGATACCACTCATCTGTTGAAATGTCATGGCACCACAGGACAGCAACAGGGCTTTCCTATTGGTCGGAGTGGCCACAAGCTCCAACAGTGTGCCCTTTTCCCTCATCGCTTCTTGGACTGACTCCTGCAAGGTGTTGGATTTTGAATAAAAATACTTGGCATGTAGCCCTATTAATTTAAAAGTATGTTGCTGTCTCAATTCTTTGTGTAAAAAAGTGTAAAAATATCATTAGTAAAAACCCTCTAAGAACATTCTTTTTTCTTTCTAAAAGCTGTCAACCTTAATTCAGCATCATATTGTTTATTTTATTATTGAGTATAAAATAATTGATCACTGAAATGTACTGAAGAACTCAACAGAGTATTGTGAAGTATTACCTTTATAACTTCGAGTTCCATTTCAATATCCTTTTTCGGCCAACCTGTTCTCAATTTTTTCAGTGATTTGTGGGCGTTTTCGATGTCATCCTTCAATATGTAGTAGTATGGAGACTCAGGGATGAAGGGGCACATGATGAAGAAGAGGATTGGAGCAACACAAGAGATGAGGATGAGGTTCCAATGGGAGACCCATGGGCCGAAGATGTACTCGATGAGGTATCCTGAGGCGAAGAAGAAGTTCAGGGTTGATCCCAGAGCACTCCGGATATCATCCTGTAAGGAATACATTTCTACTATAAGTTGTAATGTCAGTTTTTACGAGTCTCAGCAACTGTGTAAGTGTTTTGTGTTATAAAAAATTAAAAATTAAAATTTGAATTAATTCAATGAATGAAAAATGAACTGCAATTAGTTGAGTCGTCTTTTATTTTCAAAGATAAATAATTGGTGTTCTGGACATGTAGCTTATTGGGCAAATTCTTTTACATTATAAAGTTTAGTTCTCTTTTTTGTTCGGACAAAGGTGTCTAAAGTCCCAAGATTTTCAAACAAGAGGAAGTCAGGTAAACTGGTATTCCTCATAATTTCTTTAGAATTTTTAAAAACTGTGGATTCCTTTTTCACTTGTAAAAAAAATTAATTAAATATTAATAAAGAATTGAATAAAGATTCTACTGAGATAAATAATTGGCGCAAAAAATACAAATGGCACTGTCACAAATATATTTCTTTTGTGTGAATTACTGAAGCCATATTGCTTTACATATTTTGTGCCTGTTAGAACATTCATTAGTCTCTAACTGTACTGTCTGTATGAATGGGTAGTCACAATAATTAGATACTATATATGGTAGTAAAATATAGAGTTGTCTTCAGCAACCTTTCATAAAATACATGTTTTGAATGTTTTGCCTTACCTCAGCAATCTCAGCGATGTAGAGAGGCACACAGGTGAACACGATGCCTCCACCGATACCTCCTATTATACGAGAGATGTATATGTGCCAAACAGCTGTAGTGAAGTATAACATGGCCCAGGCGACCAGGCCTACCAGCACAGCCAAGATCATAGAGCCCTGTCAGAGAAGATGAAACTGTTGTTAGTGGCTGAACAAACTCTGTTGAATTATAAATACACACAAACACTTAATGAGTCAAACACTAAAAGAATTTCCTAATCAACAAATGTTGCATCAATAATGCAGTAATTTTGTAAAAAATCATGGTTTATGTTTATATCTATATTTATCATTCTTTTAAATTATAGCCCTAAAATGAATTTTTTTTTAAGGATCTTCAAATAATAATTCAGACAGGTATTATCTCCTGTTACACTTCCAAAAGTGTAAGTAATATGCCAATAATTATTTGATTTTAATTTAAAAAACTCATTTGAAAGTTTAAAACTACACTAGTGACGTCAATCTGAACCAATCAGATCCTGATCCTGGCCGAATTAAAAAATTTATCGGATTAGCCGAAATGCAGTGAAATTGCATCAAAGAATTACAACAATGTGTTTGAATACAATATTTATGTCTTTCAATGCCCTTTCCTCAAATTACAGCAACAGTGATAATTTCTTGAGTTGCAGCAACACCCACGATTATTTTACATCTTTGCTTATTTCCTAGATCATGCTATACCTTGCGACCGACAGTGTCGACCAGGACTCCACCGATGAAGGGGCCGAAGATGGAGCCGATGCCGATGAGAGAGCCTATCCAGGAGGCCTGTGTGGTTGTGATGGGCAGCCAGGAGTCTGCTGCACTCAGCTTGGGCAGGGCTGGGGACGTCCAGTTGTACAGACTGCCCAGCGAGAAGGCTCCAACGTTGGCTGTAATGAAACATGGATTTACTTGGATTAGATTCCATTGGCACACCAGAATGTGAATTTTAAGGTGAATATGACTGAAAGACGAGTGATGAATAAAATGATAGCTTCGTAATGAAGATCAGCTGATTTGCTAGCCAGGATTATTTATTCAAAGTCCAATGATCAGGACGGTTGGGTCCAATTTAAAATCCTCCAAAATTACTTTTTAAGAATTAAAATATCTATCTTATTTTGGATACCAAGCGAGCAATATATTTTCACTAAGCTATATAACCTGTCCGCAACAAATTGGTAATTGGTAATTAGGAGGTCGTTTGTTGGTTTGATCCTGTGGAATGCTAATTACCTATAATATATTGTTTGAAGCAAGACGTTCTGTCCCTCATAGAAATTTTCCCATGGTTTTGGCAAAATAAAACACCGTTACCTTTTTAACTATAGGCCTAATCTCAAAAAATAAAATTTTAGTTTCAGTAGACAAACGAATGTCTCAGTTTACTGTTTTAAGGCACAGCATCATGTACCAGAACATATTTTTACCTGGAGACATAACTTTGTCAACCAAATTTTTTTACCAATCAGATCTAACTTAGCAATAATCTCAGTAACAGCGTAAACCATGTAAATCATATTCAAGTTTTTTTTTTCTTTTTTTTTTCGGAAAACCAGCAACACTTTCAGTTTCCTTGTGACAAGACTTCTTTGAAAGTTGTTAAACTTGACTGTTTGATTGCGCTATAAAAAACTCAAATACTGCTGAGAGTAATTTGAAGTGATTACATGCACTAAAAACTCTTTGAGAACAGAAAACAATGGATCTTTAAAGTGCAATCACAGTGCAATCGGATGAATCGTCATTCAAAATAAATTATTGTTTACATTTTCTTTGTTATAAAAAATAAACTATTCACACAATTAAAAAAAGTCCTATGAATCTTATAAAATATCCTATAAAAACATAGGTATTTTTTTGTTAAAAGTGTTTGAATAGTTTTTTTGTATAATGATTTAGCCGTTTGACAATACTATGAAGAAATTACATTTTCTTTAGGAATTTTATTCATAATTTATTGCCTGTCTGATGAGTTATCAAATTCTATTATAACATTACAGTTCTTTGTTTTATAAAATAATTACCTCTACATCAATTTAAAAATGAGAGAAACTCTTGTTTAAACTTGCAAAACCATTAAAAATTGAATAAAAGGCTTTTAAATTATGTTTATATCCAAAATTATAATCAATTAAGCAGAAAAATTTACTTCCTGTTAAAATATTGTATACTGCCTTTCCTTCTTTACTGTACGTTATAGATTGTCAATCACATGTTAATTATTTTGTTAATTCATTGACTGAATGTCCTAAACATGTTTTGAGTGTGATTCTTTAAAGACTTATTCTGTTCAGGTAATTACTCTCATTTCTATTTCACTTCCGATTTGAACTATGCACTCCGAAAAATAACTTAAAAAATTATGTTGATATCTTACAAAATTATATTTTGACTCACCTGCCATTACAGCCAGGTAGAGGTTAAACCTCTTGGATTTTCTCTTAGGTTCCATCTCCATCTCCATTGTCGGTTGTAGCTGATCTAACCCTGTATCTGATGTGTTGACAGTCAGATTAGTCTATGACTAATCGACGTTATCAGATATCTACAGCCTCCTGGAACCCTGTGGAAGAGAAGATTCCTTATCATTCCATTCAACTCTTCTAATTACTGCAGAACCAACAGTTAACTAAAATTATGTTTGAAAACATGAAAATCTAATGTTTGGAGTATATTGTGTTGGTTTATATTGTGATCAGTGTTGGGAGTTTCTAAATTTTAAATGAACCTCCTAGAACCCTGTGGAACAGATTTGAGATATGCCTATCACTTATCACTCTAATTGACTTAGTCATATTGACTAATTATGATGTTTAAAAAAAAACTTAAATCTAATAAAACTTTTTAAATATATTACAGAACCACATGTTGCTGTATGTTAGAAGGTTCTCGATTCAAATTTTTTGTTGGAAAGGTTAATTTCTGTGAGTATTTGAAAATAATAATTTAGTAAAACAATTCTTTTCAATACTTGTGATATACAAGGTACACGAAAGTCTGGAACAATATTTTCTTTGTTGAACCATTGCAGATAATTGAACCTCTTTAGAGTACTATACCTAAAATCTGTTTTTTGAAGCAAATAAGATTCTAGTATTTGAAGGAAATATTTATAATATTGTGCAAGTAATTGTAGTGTAAAATCATTGCATATATAGTTTTAGTACTGGACATATGTAAAAATTTTGAACAATGGCACTTGCACTGTGTATCTAAATCGAGAGCACAGGCCAACATTTTAGGTTTGTACATTAAATTTACGGTATATTTAGAATTAATAGAAATTTTAATTATTAGGTTGAAATTTTTTATTCATCTAGCTTTATCTTTACCCCCTCAAATATAAATTCATTCATCCAAAAACTTTCACTTTAAGACTAGGCCTATATTTATTATTTTCAAAACAATTTTAACAAAATCTTGGTTTTAAGTTAAATATTTCAAATTTTGTTGAAAGCCTACACAACACTGAGAGATTTTTTTAGTTAGTATACCAACCTTTAAACCCTTTAGAATAATCTCATAAGCTTATAAAAGCATTCTTTATATTTATGAGTATATTTTTCTGAAATGTAATATTTTTACACCATAAAATAAATCAATTTAATTTTTAGAAAGTTAAGAAATTAATTATTTATTAATAAATTTAATTGTTCAGCAATTATGATTTTACCTTTCTAATAGCTCTTTATTGGGTTTTCAATTTGAAAATTTCCTGAGTAGTGTAGGCCTACATACATTTCATAGGATCCAAATGTTGAACAAACATAGAAATGTTTGTTTGCGGTCAAAAGTGTGTGTCTCTTTATTTATATATTTTGTCTGTTTCTTAAAAACATTAAAATTTACTGTAATTATTTATAACCATAGTACAATATTTCCCAGAACTTCATATAGATTTTATTTTTTTATTTAGCTCTAAAACTTTATTTTGTCATAAAAATAAAGGCAAAGCAACTTGTGAGTTTAATTAATTATTTAATGTCAAACATACACTACGTAAATATTAAAATTTGCGTACAGTATTTTGTTTTAAAGTTTTAAAGTATGAACGGGTATACTATGAAATATTAATAATTAATCAATTATGAGCTAATCCAATATTTTTTATTTTTGTGCAAATACCAAAAAGTAGGTGATGTGGGCAAAATAGTTTGTTATATAAAAACAATAATACGGGTACTGTAAAACCAAAAATTCTAAGAATGCTAAGAATTAGTTCTGTAATATAAGTTACTAAAATACTAGACCATACAGTGACACTGACACTTATAGATTTTTACACCACACTAACTATTTAAAACTCCTGGTTATACACACAAAGAACTTAAATATTACATATCAATTTTTCTAAATTGGTAACACCAACACTATATAAAACGCACATGGAAAGAATGTTAAAGACACTCAAACAAATTTCGCAAATTAACTCCTCAATTACCTAGCGAATTTTCACGAGTAGCACACCACCTAGTTCTATCCTTGCCACTACAGTTATGAAGCCTGGGTACAAACAGGTACCGGTGCTGGTGTGGTAAAAACAGGTTCTTGCACAACCCAACTTAAATGTGGCCTAAGTCTCCAGGGCTTGATAAAGTAGTACATAAGTGTACAACCACGCTTGACATATGTGTTGTGTTTGCTAATTCTTTAAACTTTGTTATTTGTACATGACAAAATTACTTGCCATCAAGACTTTGAACCGATAGCCAAACAATTCAGGTGCTGGAATCAATTAAATAGCCGCAGGTTGGACCCGTTGCTGTGAGAATTAGTTTTTGAAAGAAATATTATTCGGAAATGCTAAAATCACATATGTCTGTCTGTAGATCCTCGTTAAATTGTACCAATTTTAATGAAATTTACATCAACCTTGAAAACTTTAGTGGATCAGTTATTTAATCCAACCATAAAAAGAAAATGTTGGGGTTAAGGGCCAAGTTTAACACATTTTTTTAACAATTATATTCCCTTATTGGTAACTGATATAACAATTTTTAATGTGCAAAATTTTGACCTTTATTTTAAAATTACTGCTCTCCATCTCAAACATGTTGGAATTTAATTTCAAAATATTAAAAAAATTTGGTGCTAATGGTGCTACATCTAGAGATTCTATAACTCTTAAAACTGCTTTTATCTCAAACTCCTCCCTCTTCCTTTAGATTTTTGGGGTGAATTTTGTAAATTATTATACCTAGAGCTCCTAGAACCGATGCTTTAATACATTGACCAAACTGGAGGTCTAAGACATAAAGTTCTTCAAAAGTGATCACTCAAATTACTTTGATAACTTACCAAAACAAAATTGTAAAGAACTCTCTCTAAAATGTAGCAGAAACTGCATTTTGAATTATCTGAAGGCATAGTACAAATTATCCGAATGGGTTGATATTTTCTGACGAAGCATAAGTGATGAATAGACCACTGGGTTCAAAAACCCCTAACATATTTTACCACAACCTACCATTCTAACCTCAGATTTAAAGGAATACTTACTAACATTTTTGAACAAATAACAACCCTACACCACCAATTTCTATCTGACAACTTCCTCCAACACCCTCTAGTGTCATGACCGAGTAATTTACACTCTGCAGGGAATCTGGGAACAATTGTGGCAGGCTATTGTTCTGCGAAAGATGTATTAATGAACCTCTAGTGAAGTCGGTTCATCTTGATAACTGTGATTAAAGTCTGGAGTTAATGCACAAGTCATCTCTTCTCAGTAGAGACCAAAGACGAAATTTATGCCTACTTGTTCTAGATAGGTTATCGCAAATTCTCTGAAGGAGATTATCTCATGGATTATTTATAATTTTGATTTGTTTTGTTGCAGGGGAAACAATGTGGCTAAGTTTTATGTGGATCAATGCATGTTTCATTCAAGTTTTTTTTTTAATTACCAGTACTTAAATGTAGTATTTATTTTCAAAACTTAGTTATAGCTTTAAAGATCAATGACATCTTCCTTCCCCTTGTCAATAATACAAGATATCAATACGTTTGAATTCAATCTCAAAAACCAACCCTTGGAGGTGGACAAAACTTTATGTGATTTCATTTAACTTTTTTCCCTTGTGTGTATGCATGATTTAAAGGGTAAAGTGAGAATAAGATCAAATCAGGGATGTCTATATCACAATAATCTATGGAGTATGGTGATGATTTGAGGCATTATGCAAATAAACAACTACTTTCTGGTCTAAAAAGAGCACATAAACCAGCTGCTTACTGTGTAATGTGGCAAAAAATGCAAAAACTAAATTTACTTAAGCGGGATGGTTCCCAACTATAGCAAAAGGTCATCCTCGGGCGGCGCTAAACAAACTACAGCTAAATTGTTGCTAATTTATTAAACTTGTCTTAGCTTCTAATTTCCTAGCTGAGTCAGCTCTCACAAAAAACAAGATCTCTAAAATTTACTAGGGGTAACTAAACTACCCATTTGATATTGGTAAATGAAGTACCTAAATCAAAATGTAGAAAAAGAAAATATTACAGTTTTGTATCTTTACGATTCTTAGACTTACAATTAATTTCATAAAAGGATGGATAAAAATCATAATGTCAGAAATAAAGAACCGGTAAAACCACAAACTACCATTTGATTCTCCAACGCTTAACCTCTTCTCCAAAGGTTACAAAATTGGCAAATTAATTTAGGATAATTTAGACAATTTTCCTCCATTACCTCACCTACATGAACTAAAGAGAAGTCCTTCCATTGATAAACTGATGGACAATAATTATCGTTATCAGATAAACACCGATTATAAATTCTATATCCTGAGCGAGGAGGAGCAAATAAGCCGTGACCAGAGGCCAAGGACGGAAGGATGTTACTGGCTTGGACAGAATACCTACGAAGGTCTCGCCGAGGTCGCAAAGGACAAGTATGAGACTAGTCAATGTCTGGACGTAATATATCAAATGACAGACATGCAAGGTGGATTCCTTTATTGAGAATTGAGAAAAACCGGAAAGTGAATTAAGAGCCCATTTATCCTGTCTACTGATATTTCAAAACTTTAATGTAAAGGAAGAGGCGATTCCCATGGTTTAGACTTCATAGTTCAAGGATGATCTGTTTCCAGTTTTCATTTTTCGAAATGTCTCCTGTTGGAGTGAATCTACTTGTAATTGAATTTTGGGAATTAGGAAAAAATTCAGTTTTGATTACATGGTCAATATTTATTGTGCAATGTTCCAAATTGCACAATATTATATTGAACGAGTATGGGCTATATTGAAGGCGAAAATCAAGTTGTGCAATATATTGAGTTTCTGCGTCTGATATGAGAAAGTTTTTAAAGTTACTTGGTTCACTTATTTATTCGAAGCTCATTCAGCAGTCCTACTCTTTTTTTTCAACCACTCCTTCCATCCATATCCTCTCCTTCTTCTTGTTCAGCTTTTTCAGCAATACGACTACCGCACACACTGCAGCAACCGAACCGAATCACAACTAAACTAAAATATGTTACTGACCTTAAACCATGGAAAATTGGAATTAAATGTAGACCGACAGCAGTGCTGTGGTTAGCATAAGTTCTGGCGTCC